AAAAAAAACTATGACATTAGATGGACAAAGAAAAGCCACATATTTTGTCAAAAACGACTCCAAGATCCCAAAAAGCATAAAAATATCATCGAATAAGTTGTGAGTCCCGTTAAACTCATTAAGCTGCCAACAAACAAGCTCCGTGTTTCCTATATACACACCCAATGCTTACATTTCGATTCTTGGTATTTGACGCTTCATCTGCTTTTATCGCTCTATGTTCTTGTGTTTGTGTGGGCATCTTGGCTAAAAATGAAGGTGGAACCATAAGCCATTTTTATCAAGAAACTTCCATGTTATCGGTAACTGTAGAGATTACCAAACACTTATCCGGTAAGTACTTATCGGTAAAATTTAACACTATTATTTACTTACCGGGTAAGATTTTAGTCTACCAAAACGACATTGTATACAACAATTTATCCAGTAAGCGCTTACCGTGGTTTTTAACTATTGGGTTTTGAAATTTTAATCACAATTAATGATAATTAACTTCATCAACTCTTGCAGGTCTTCCATTTCACCAAGCAAAGAAAACAGCTAAGTGGGCTCCCATACACCTGCTCACACGATTATTGTAAGAGGAAAAAATCGTCGTTTGAAAGGTGCATCCACTTGATTTTAAAGGGTGTTCTCAAATACTTTAGAACCAAAATTCATAACAAATATCAAACATGGGTGAAGATACAACTACCAGGTTCAAACACACAATCCCAAGCACAATTAGAGACATAACTACGATTGTACCACAGTTTCTTGTTTATTTTTCTCCTATTTTGATTTTGTAACTTTTCTTTATGATTTATTTTTCTTTTCGTTGCATATTCATCTTAAAAGTCATTTTATATCTCGTTTTTAAAAGCAATATAAATTTATTTTAAAGATCAAGGTCAATTCCGTTTGAAAAAATGTATTGTATTCCCCAAATCGACATAATTGACTTTTCTTTAGGTCAAAACGTTACTTTGTTGACCTTTAAAGGTGCACCTGTCCAGAATAATTCCTAGGCCTGCCACTAAATCAGACACCATATTAACAATGAATGCTTGAATTCCTTCCGTGTATTCACTTGTGTATAGAACCTAGAAAAACTTATTAAAAAGATGAACGTTTGAACTCTTTCTGTGTATTCACTGAGTGGGTCATGTGCAAATTCATTTAAAAATAATATATATTGGGGGGGGGGGTTGGACGATTGATAAGTCCAAAGACACAGAAACAACTTAAGAATTTTAAACAATAAAATGGAAGCGACTAGCAATGAGCATCAATCAACTAATCCTTTGGAATATGTATCATCGACTCATTCAACCCGTTTTCTCAAAAGAAAGTTGGTTAGGACATCGACACACGTCAATATTCTGATCGTTATAAAAGCATGATCAGACTTGAACACTTTACAACTGATCTCTAATTAGTTAATCAAACCTAGTCACAAACTTAGAGTTTAATTGCCAATTGCATTAATGTCAAGCGTCAACATTTAACATAAATATCAATTGTGTATCGTGTGCTACTTAGATAAACCGAAATGCAGTTACGGACTTAAAAGTTCATCTAGAGACTCGAAATTGAATCAGACATATAAAGGGATCGTACTCAAAATATCCAACTCAAAACAATAAACTTGTAACTCTAAAATCGCATAAATGGTTTTAAATGATATTAAAATCACCATAAGTCTCTACTAATCCAAATTCAAAGTAAATCACATACTCATTACCAGAATATGAAGTTTAGTTACTCATATCTGAAATTTAAAAACCAAAGGTACTTACGAAAGTTTGCAGGAAGAACCCAGGAAATTGTCTCCAAAATGGCCTCTCAGAATCTGAAAATCGATCGAGAGCTCCCAAAATCTGAAATCTGCTTACCGTTTCTTCCCGATTTATGGTTCTCGTTTCTCTCGATCAACAGTTTTTGCTTACTCTCTCTGCTGGTCGATTTTTGATCAATCCCTCTCGATCAACAGTTTCTGCTTACTCTCTCTGCTGGTCGATTTCTGATCAATCCCTCTCCCGATCGGCTTCCTGTCTTGCTCCCTCCTCCTCGACAGTTTCCCGTCCTGCTCCCTCTCAATCGATCGATTTCTGCTCTCTTTCTCTGTTTCTGGTTCTGCCCTCCGATTTCTATCCTCTGGTTCTCGTCCCCGTCTCCCTCTCGACAGTTTTTCCAATCGATCCCAGAAAACCGCCAAACGTGACTGTTGTTTCTGGGCTGCAGCCTCATCATGATAATTCCAAATCTGGAACAACGTGATCTTCGTTTCAAGAAATAGAATAATAATACGTAATCATAGAGATCCTAATTGACAATATGTTTAATTACATTTCAGAAGTAGCATGAAGAATCAACGGTGTAGGGTGTTTAAAGATGAAACCACGCCATTTATCCGAGTCCTCATGCATGGATGGAAATTAACTTCAATGAAATACTCGTAACAACAATGTCGATAAATTCAACTTCATACCTATGGTTTCTTTTTAGATCTCAATTAGTGCTCGAAAGATATGCATTTAAGGTTCAATTTATATGAAATCATGAGTTATGTAAAAACACCACCTTTGAATAGTACTCAACCACAACAAACTTCTTCATATTACCATATCCTGCACCTGCTGAGTCCATTCTTGTGTGATAGCTTCATAAAAACGACATCCCTGAAGAAACAAAATGAAGCATGTTTAAAGAAATAGTCATGCAACAGATTGATATCCCCACTTGATTCATGTCAAGAATAAGTAAGCACCTCATTTTCAGGCCCTCTTCGTCTCGACATCCTATTATTGATGCAGTGCAGTAAGATCCATTCGTGCCAAGAAGAGAAAATATGGTACGGTACAGTACATCAGCCTCCTGTAGTTGTTGTTGTAGTTGTAGTTGTGGTTGTTCCGTCTTCTGGTCGAACATTTTCCAGACCTCCTAACGATGAAATGCTCGGGGGAATATTATTTATGCTTGTACCTCGTATATCCAACTTTTTTAAACATTCTAAACGTCTAAGTTCCTCTGGCAATTTCTCAACTCTAATAGAATCGTGGAGACTGAGATACTTTAGACTTTTCAACCTACATATGTTGTTCGGAATATCTCGTAAAACTAGACATCGTTATAGTATTAGCCTCTCTAAACATTCTAATCGACCAAGATCCTCCTGTAACTTCTCAAGAAGCTCACAGTCATAAAGTGATAGAGATTTCAGATGTTTCAACATACAAATGCTATACGGAAGATGTTTAATCTTTTTAGACATCAATTACAGTTCCTCTAAACATTCTAATCGGCCAAGCTCCTCTGGTAACTTCTCAAGAAGCATACAACCAAAAGGATTGAGAAATTTCAGATGTTTCAACGATAAAATGCTATATGAAGATGTTTAATACTTGGAGACGACAAAGCGAGCTGCTCTAGACATTGTAAGTTGTCAAGGTCTTTGGGCGCCTCTGGAATATCACATCTGAGTGTAAGGTATCCTAAGTGCTGTAAACCACAAATGCTTCCGAAAAAACTCTCATGGTCTGTGCAAGCACAAGAGGAACCTATCGAAATAAGCTTCTCAACATTTCCAATCAATGAGGGTTGATCTTCCTGATATGTACAATCAAACTGAAACTTGGGGAAATTATCATCGGGGTGCAATGGGCATGTATCTATCAACTTTCCATGCAGATATAAGCTAGGTAATAATAATCCATAAGATCTCTCGATATATAAATTTGTAAACCTCAAAAAACCTTTTGCTTTTAAGTTGGTGAGCTTTTTTAGACCTCCAATGGGAGCAAGAAGTTCTACCAAACTGGAACATTCTTCAATGTGTAAACTCTGGAGATTTGGAGTTCCCCCAAGGTCAAGGGTCTTCAACTTTGAGCATCCTTTGATGTCCAGAGATTTGAGCATTACGTCTCCAACGGGGATGTGAAGTTCTACCAAATCACAAGATGTAAGAATCAACTTCTAGAGATTTCGGGTCAGCTCAAGGGTACTCAACTTTGAGTTAATCACTTCGAGGTCTTCGAGTTGTTGATATTTGACGGAATCGAGAAGTTGTACCAAATCATCATGCCCATCAAGAGTCAAAGCCTCAAGATTCCGAGTCATCCCAAGGTCAAAGGTCCTCAACTGTGGACATCCAAGGCTGAGGGTTCTTAGTTTGCAACGTTCATCGTGCATGCGAAGTTCCACCAAATTATAACATCCTTGAAGTTTTAATGTCTCGAGATTCGGAATTGACCCAATGTCAAGGGTCCTCAACATTGGAATATCGAGGACAAGGGATTTGAGTTGTTGACATTCAAGGAACATGTCATGTTCTACCAAATAATCACATTCTTCTAATTTCAATATCTCGAAATCCGAAGTTGGTCCAAGGTTAAGGGACCTCAAAGAAGGTGGACAACTCAAGTCGAGGGATTTGAGATGTAGACATTCACGGTGGATGCAAAGTTCTACCAAATCCTTACATCCATGAAGATTCAGTGTCTCGATATTCGAAACCAACCTAAGGTCAAGAGACCTCAACTTTGAACCACTCAGGTTGAGGGATGTGAGTTGTGGACATTTACATGGCATGACAAGTTCTACCAAATCACAACAMYCATTAAGATTTAACGTCTCGATATTCGAAACCAACTTAAGGTCAAGGGACCTCAACTTTGGACTACTCACGTTGATGAATTTGAGTTGTGGACATTCAAATGGAATGTGAAGTTCTACCAAATCTAAACATTCCATAAGATTCAATGTCTCGATATTCGGAACCAACTTAAGGTCAAGGGTACTCAACTTTGAACTACTGAGTTTGAGGGATTTGAGTTTTGGGCATGGAAGAGGCATGTGAAATTCTACCAAATCACGACTATATTCAAGATCTAATATCTCGAGATTTGTAGTTAGCCCAAGGTCAAAGGTCCTCAAACTTGACCAACGGAGCGTAAGGAATCGGAGTTTGGGAAGAACCTATGATAAAAAAAGGAAAAGATGGAGAGTGTGTAAAAAGAGAGCAATAGATGTGTAGTGTCATAATATATAAATGATGCAAAACCATTACTCTTACCTTTCTCTTTCCCCCTTCCCAAAGTTGTTTCATGCCCCAAATTTCAAGAGCAACAAGATTACTTCCTTGAAATGTTTTCGGTAAAACATGTAAACGACAATGTTGGAACTTCAKATWTTGCAAAGAATCTGGTAAGTAACCGCCATCTTCATCAAAGTCCAAATCTATTGCACAGTCGATCACGTGAAGAAATCGAAGTTTCTCCATCTTTYTAAGRCCTTTCATAATAGTTTTTTKATTGACTTTTGTCGTGAACAAMTCTATACATGTTGCTTCAGTCCCCTGAAATCCAAAAGTATTGACCATGAAACTTACGGGTGTAAATGATACCAGACAACTCGCCAACTACTCGAGATCGACTTGGTCAAAACTCGGTCAACACTCGACTCCAATAGGCTCCGCTCAAAYTAGAACTCGACTCGAAATATATTAACGAGTTGAGTCGAGCTACCCAATACTCKACTCAAAAAGCTYGTGAGATACTCAATTTTTGTATATATAATTAGTTTTACAAATATAATCAGTTTTATAATATAATATGTACAATATAATGTAATAGAAACGTCTTATATTTATAAATATTTGAACAATATTGGACATTTTTAACTATAAAAACTAATCAATATTTTGTCTACTAAAATCATAATTAAAAAAAGGGAAAATTAGTTTTATAATATGTACAATATAATGTAATAAAAACGTCTTATATTTATAAATAATTTTTTGAGAAAACCAACTTTCAAAATCGTCATTTTGGGGAACCAACTTGCACCTGATTCCTATTTT